CTTTTTTTTGGGAGACGCACGCTTCGTGGTGAGGCCCCGCCCCCGCTGGGTGATTCTTGTGCGCGTCGACTCCCCCCGGGCCAGGCGCGTGGCTCCGGGAGCTCAATAAACAATCCCGAGCTTTCACTGCCGCCGGGAGCACGCGCTGGGCTCATTTACATTCCAATGTCTCTAAGTTGAAGGCCCATTGGTCGATTCAAACGGGCTGCAACCGTGCGAAAAGAAAGAAAGGAGGAAGGGGGGCACAGAGAAAGAAATCAAAAAGAGAGAGAGAGAGAATGAAAAGTGAATGGTTTGCCTCTTTGAAATGCCTTTTGAATTTGACAATGTACACCCCTGGCAAGTCTTCAAATTATCAGTCTTTCCCCCCTCAGCCATCTTTCTCCTCTGGCTCTTTACAATCACAAAAATACCGAGGACGCTCAGTCCTGTATCCAGGCTACAGCTTCTCCACACAACTAAATAAACCGCAGGAGCGCGTCTCTGCTCACAATCACATGGCGATGATGAAGCTCCAGAAAAAGGGACGCGATTCATTAGAAAGTGAAACATCATGTTTATGACAAACGGACTGCAGGTTCGCATGCAGGGAGCGTGTTGCACCGGGCTGCGTCTCACCTCAGCGCACATGGTTGTCCACTTTGTTGGCACTTTGTTGTCTCTATAAGTTTCTCCAGTCCTACAGGCTCTTTTAAACGCTGAGGTTGTATGAGTGCAGAAAGTTTCTCCAGTGTGTGTTTGTTCCACATTGAGAAATCAGAGCCCAACTCAAGGTGCAGGACCAGGGACGCAGCATTTCAGCACCACATCGGACCGGACAGTTAAGAGTTACATCACCATCCTCTCTATGGATCTTTAAATCGCACTGTGTTTGTGTTTATCTCTCTATTAAAACTTGCTGTCTTTCACTTTTGAGAAATGTGTTTGGAATCTGCTCACGTGAAAAGTCTTCAAACTCTGACAGAGAAAAATCGTGAAGACAAACCTAATGTAAAAAAGTGGGACTCTTGCGGCCTCTGGTGGCGAGAAAAACGAAACTACCTCCTGCATCTCCTGCTGGTGCTGATCAGTCTGAATCAAAGAGAGGGGGGGATTCCCTGACAACGGGTGGTTTAAACATGTTTTCTTCTGAGTTGAGCCTGCTAACTTTCTTACTAACTCACCTTAACAAGAGCTCAAAAGTTAAGAAACTATTTCCAGGATCAGATCTTCAGATCTTCAGCCTCCATAACAATATGCATAACGTCTCAATTGACCCCAAATTCATATGAACAAGAGCCCAGAGGTATACAGACACAACGTTCACGATCAGATCTTCAGACCTTCAGCCTCCACAACAATATTCATAAACCATTCATTTTAAAAAAGCGTCGATAACAGGCCTAGTGTAGAAATCAGAGTAAATAATAATTTTGGAAATAATCTATTTTTTTAAGCATTTGAGCCAAAGTAAAAAAAATAAGAAAATAGTGGCTATATTCAAGTTGGACTCACTTTTCAAGTTAACAAATCACACAGCTCAGTTTTTAAGCTGAATAAGCAGAACAGAACAGCTTTCAAACTGTGCATCTAAAAGAGTTTATGGCTTCACCATAACCAGGATGCAGCTTATGATTCTGGGCCGATTTTGTTTTGTTTACATTAATGTTTTTCCTAATTTTGGCTTTGACAAGCTAAAAAGTCTGAATAAAGGTTAAATGTACGTATGTTCACAAAATAACTTAATGAATAACAATTTACAAGAAAGAAACATCAGTCTCCCAAATAAAAGATCCCATGTTCATCACATTTCTTCTTTCTTCATATAGCTGAGTTGTGAGTTATGATTTTGAGACTTCCTGCTGTTAAAGAGGGGCAAAATCCCGCGTGAATTTTTACTGTGTAATATATTATGACTGTGACGTACGAGAGGATTACATCAGTCTGCGTGATTTCCTGTGAATGTAAATGCTGCGTGTGGTAATTCCCACTTTCATCTTCTAGGCTTTCCCCTGACACTCCCCCGGTGCCAGAACCTCACCCTGTCAACAGCAGGGGGCGCTGAGTGAAAACACTCCACTTCTCTACATATTTTACTGAACCAGCATCTGATGAAACTGTCGGTGTCATAAAAAGAAAACCAGGGCTAAAGAAGAAGTGTAAAAGTTAAAAGATATTTTCATTTTGAGTCGTTTATACGAACCTGCAGTACCATAATAGACAGATTCACTTCCTGACTCAGAACTGACTCGTCAGACATTGGGAAAAAAATTTCCAGACTAAAGTGTCTTGGAAAAAAATGAATTGAAACTCACAGGAAGTCTGTGGTCAGTCAAACAAACGTAAGCCCTATATTAGTGGAAAATCAATTATCCCAAATGTTCCATACACTATTCCATGAAAATGTTATAGTTAATTATACTTGTCATAGGTGTGCATATATAATATACAATAAGATACAGTTCCAATGATTAAAATGTCACATTTCGGATCAACAAATATATTTTTACACACAGCGGTTTAAGTTAAAGCCTGAGACAGTCTTATTCATACAGGTCAGGGTGTGGCTGTTTGAACCAGGTATGAAACAACCTGAATCTCCAGTGCCACAATAATGTCTCAGCCGATACGTGGGTGAGACCAAAACAAGAATGATTAAGAGTGTGTGTGGGTGTTGGACAGATAGAGACAGATATAAGATATGAATCAGAGGGAGCTAGAATGTGTCGAAGATCGGCTCTGTTTGTTTCAGACAGTGGTGGAGGAGGGACTCAAAGATTTTACTCATGTAAAAGTACGATTAAATAAACTAAAACTCAAATAAAATTAAAGGTACCACATTAACTTTTCTATCAGTTAAAAGTAACCAAGTGCTTGGTTTTAAATATACTAGTATTTAATCTAAAAGTACTTGCAGAGTGTATCTTCTTCCCTAATGCAATGGTCAACTACATCATTATGTCTCTTACGAATCCATTTCAGTTGTTTCTTCACCAGTGATGCTGCTGCAGGAGGCGGGGCCTAATATTACCTGCAGGTTCTAATTGGATCAATGGACCAAGGTTTGTATTGGTTATTGATTACTTTAAAAAATATGTAACACAATGCTTTGTAAAAGTGGAGTAGAAAAAGCAGGCATTTGCTTGTATATGTAGTGGAGTAAAAGTGAAAAGTACCTGAAAATAATTGTACTTAAGTTAAGTACAGATACATGAAAAAAAGTGCGTCCCACCAGTGATTTCTGACACTGATATTTCCTTTGCATTGTGAATAAATGTGGGAAACAGCAAGTCAACCATTTGTGTGGTGTCATAATAAGCAGTCTACATCCGTCCTTCGTGACAGCCATGAAATGTGAGTTTTCAACAAGGGCCCTCAGTGAGGACTGAGCAATACTTCCAGTGCTCAGGAAAAGGGAAGTGCTCCATTAGAGGCTGTATCGCTTCTCTTTTTAAAGCACATACTGCATGCTGGGGTAAATTTTTTAAAACTCTGGCAGGTTACTACATATGCACCATGATGCCCAAGTACAGCACTATCCCATGTATGCATTCCTGACGTGGTCAGAAATCATGTAGCACTTCTCCTCTATCAGAGACCCTGACCTTTTGGTACTGCTACCAAGTTTAAAAGGTCAGAAAAGACCCTGTGAGGAGGCAGAGGAGAAAACCATATTTAGGTTTATATAAGGTGGAATGAGGAAGTGAAGTCTGAAGTCTTGTTGTGATACAGACTCAAGTCTTAATTTTTGAGGGGAACACCGCAGCACACTTGCACACAATCTCACACCTGCAGCATTCTCACTCTGAAAGTCCCATACACTGCATATTCATGACAGCTCAGCAAATGGTGGATTCTTTTGTTTAAATTCACTGGAACAGTGTGGTTTCTTTTTAGGGAGTGATCAACTTGATAGGTCAGGTTATGGGAAAACTTCTATTAAACCAAATGTCTGTTTTCAACTGAAACTGCTCACAAAAAGTTTGAATCTTTAATGTTATCATCAATTTATGTGGGGTATTTCATATGGAAATGCTCTAACATGTTGTATGGTACATCAGGATCTGCTTGGGCACATTATAACTACATGATGCATGAATTGTGTGAAATATTAATCCTGGCTTCTGTGTTATATCTCATGTAAGTTATGATATGACATACAATTTAAACAAAAGATCCTTATGTGCACAGTTGCATTCAGGAACATAACATTAGCCCTGGACACTGACAGGTTTAATGCCACTCCAGAGGAACAGAGTGTGTGAGCTCAGAATGAGGTTCAGTCTTTTTTAATTCACTGTCCAGTTTAGTTTCTTTTTAGAACAATCTCTTTCTTTTGGTTGGATCATTATGAAGTGCTTGAGTTGAGGGGAAGTTTTCTAACAGCAGATTTGATCATTTGTGAGGTTTGAAATAGAAGGAGGAGTTTCTTGGAGTGAAAATGTAATAAATTGTTGATGGACCACTGCAATGTTACTTTAGGTGTCTTATGAATCCCTGAGGGTTGAACAATTCTTTGTGTATGACGCAAAAATAAAGAAGAAAATCAAAAAATATACATATATACATACACATAAACTCATATATGTATATATATAGGCTGTATATATATAGGCTGTCAAACATGTCACACACATTTGTGTGTGACTGTTTGTTTCCACACATATTCACATATATACTTATAGATATAAATCTAACCAATAGATCGTCTCTGAGCTCCAGGTCAGAGAAAACCCAAAGGAGAAAACATTAATATCGGATGATGAAATGCGGATGATGACGTGGTGATGCAAGAAAACGAGTTGAAACTCATCCGGTTAAATGTGCAGCAAGACTTTCAGTTTCTCTCCCTCTTTTCTGGGAGGAAGAAACTCCACAGGTTTACCTTCCACGTCTGGTCTGTAGGGGGCGTCTTTACCAGCCGCGGGCTGCAGTGATACAGTACCGTGGTGCCTGTACGTGAATCACATGCGGAGACAAGCCCGCCCCTTGACATGACGTCATCTGTGTTCGTATAAATGCTGACAAGGAACTGAGAGGAACCAGATTCACAACTGGAGTCAAAACCAGAGTCAGACCAGAGAGACAGCTGCTGAGAGATGCAAAGGTAAAGACAAACAATATCAATGTGTGTCCCTGTCCTGCTTTGTTGGGAGTGATGTGTACGCATTGTGAGGTACTTCCTCCCTGTAAATCCTGCTGTGTGTGTACTTGTATTCAGGTCTGTTTACTGTAGCATAAGCTGCGGTGTAGTAAAGTGTGCATGTTGCTGAACTGTGGCCACACCACATGTAGGATAACAGACATCTGTGTGGCTATTTTCTACGAATCAGAGGAAACACTGTGTGGTTGAGGTCCTCTTTTCCTATTTCCTCCCTATCGCTCTACTTTTGTGAGACGTGTCATTAAAAAGAAAAAATGTTTCCTTGCAGCCTTCCAAAGCCTCAGTTTGCCAGCTGGCTCATAGAGCAGGTGGAGACGGGTCAGTACACAGGTCTGCGTTATGTGGCTGAAAACAAGTTCAGAGTCCCCTGGAAGCACAACTCCAGGAAGGACTGCAGGGATGAGGACAGCAAAATATTTCGGGTAGGTCTAACAGCCTGTCACCACAATACAGCTTTTATCTGGATCAGATAACATGTTAATGGCTTTGTTGACAACTGTACTGATGCTGTGTTATTTCCTGACTAAGTGGAAAACTTTTTAAAGTATGATATTGTGCCACAAATACATCATTTCTGTCAGAGTCCTTGTTTGGGAGATGAAGGCAATAACTGCGTAACAACACCAGTAGTGGCACCTGCACTTAAGTAAAGAGGAAGCAAAATATACAGGGTACTTAATTTATTAAAAAATTTAAAAAAAAAAACTCTATTACAAGTCAAACTAAAAATATAAGTATCAGCAGACATTGTGATTTTTTTTCATTATGGAGAGTGGTCCCTCAGTATCACTGAAACTAGAGATTCAATCTAAAAGTGATTCCAGTTTAGTCACTTTATTGTTTTCATAGCATGCAAGTGCATTTGGTGGATTTGGGTGTGTCCTTTAAATGATGAAAAATAAATGAGTCATTTAATGAAATCCCAATCTGTAATATAACTAGTATGATAAGCTTTCAGATAAATAGACTGGATGAAAAGTACAGACATGTTGTAAGTAATAATTTAAGGTCTCAAATACTACTAAGAAAAGTACCTACATGTATTTACAGTGTGGTTATTTGTTTGATTCACAGGCATGGGCAGTGGCAAGTGGTAAAATCAATGAGTTCCCCAATGACAAGGCCCGGTGGAAAACCAACTTCCGCTGCGCACTCAACAACCTCTCGGTGCGCTTCAAGATGATAGAGGACAACTCCAAGCACTCAGACGACCCCCACAAAATCTACCAAATCATGAACACCGAGCGTAAGACGACTTCTTGTTCGATGTGACGCTTTCGCTGTGGAACCTTGTTTATGGAGTTTGTGTGTAAAAAGCACGGGGGTCCTTTTCCTTGTTTTCTTGCAGACAGACAAGAAAACTGCTCTATGCCGAAAAACGACTCCCAGGAGGACCTCATGACTCCAGAGATCTACAGCTCTCCCACAGAGTTCTTGCCCATAGGAAATGAGGTGCAGTATTGCTGAGAGCACACTTTCACTTCTCTCTGTAAAGTGGTTCACCAGGCGACATTACTGTCTGTATTGTTGTGTAGATTTACATCCCGTTGTTTGCTGCAATTCTATACTCACATCACATAATGCCTTTTTCCTCCTAACACAGTACAATCTGGTGAATAATTTCACGGCCTTGGATCTGGGTAACCAAGCAACAGGTACGGTGTCTTTTTGCAAAGGGAAATGCTCTAAATAACTTCATAATATCCTCCTTATCTGGTTTTACATGGTTTATATTGAATATTATATGTAGTTAAACCAGATTTTTATCATCTATCATAGAGGAACAACTGTGGGTAGAGAACTACTGCCAGCCCGATGCAGCCGTCCTTGGAAGTTATCCTCCAGCAGAGAACCAACCACAAGCTTTTACAGATCAGCCCACTTTCTACCAGGGTACATTCTTTCACTGAAACAAAATGATGTCATGAAAAGAAAAAGAATAATCTAAATTTGTAACGTGATCTTTTATTCTATGTTGTTTGCAGCAAATCCTACACCAGTCGTCAGTTCTGCTCAGCAGCCAAGTATCTATGACCTGGAGGTCTCCATCCACTACAGGAAAAAAGAAATGCTAAAGATCACGTTAGCCACCGCACGTCTCCAGCTCCACTACCAGCACGAGGCCCCCGACCTCAACGCCCATCCCCTCTGCTTCCCCTCCACTGACGGCCTGCTAGACCACAAACAGGTAAATAGTTGTATCAGCTGGACATTAACTGAAGAACAGGTTTGAAAGTCACCTATTAAGAGTTTCTCACTTTCCTCCGCCAGTCTTTAAAGTATGTTTTCCTGCAGTTAACCTGTACTGTCCCCGTTATTGTCATTTAATATGTCCTACACAGTGCTTCCCAGTAACTGCTCAACTGTTGACATTCTACCTTTGGAAACATGGGAAAGAAGCGGACTTTAAGGCTTCGATATTTCTCTATATGCCTCAATAATGACCATCACAGTTTGTTGTGCAGCTGTGAGATGATGTGAAATATGGACTTTGAACAGTCAAAAGTTCAACATATGGCTAAATTTAAGTTTAAACAGTGTTCAGTCCAAACTTAAACACGCCCTTTGCAGTAAACAAAGTTATTGTTGGCATCAAGTGTTACCAAAGAAAACACATCACCTGTATTCCTCATTTTTAAATCATGCATTGTTTACATGCATGTTTGCTCTGTGTGAGTTTGTTTGAAACTATTGTCAGGAATGCGTCTCACATCACTAGTGTATTAAAAGAATTACCTGAAGTATATGAGAAACTACTCATGTCTAATTGTACTGCGTGCTATATGCCCTCACCACCGTGTGACCTGGTAGGAGGGGGGGCAGTAAACATCGCGGAGATAACTCTACCTCAAAGAACTTTGATCAGTTGGATTTCTGAAGATGGTTGTTGTGTGGGGCATAAAGAAATTGTCTCGCTCTTGGCATGATGTGGCTCCACCTAAACACGAAATCCCTAAGCTCTCAAGCCAGTATCAACAGTCACTCCGCAGGAAGTTCAGTGAATGTAAGATCAGGGTGCAGCTTTTACTGAAAACTAACTGGTGCAAATCCTGTTCTACTCTCGCCTGTTTGGAATGTGTTGTGGCCTGTGGCTACGGCCTGGAGCTCCTTCAGAATTCTTCCTTGGTTTTATAATCAGTGAATATTCAGTCTATGGTGCAGAGTGAAGTTAGAACATTGTAGTTGGTTCATCTGCGATGAAGATTTTACAGCCAATGTTTTCCATCATTGCTGTTCACATGTCGGTTACATTAAGTTTGAATGATTAACTATCTGCTGTTATTTTCGGATTGTTGATATTTCAGAGGCTTCAACACAATCTTCAGATTTAAACTCACAACTTTTCATAATAAAAGCTCTGTAATTAAGTATAATTTGACTCATTGCTGCAATAAATCAAACATTGTGCTTTTACACAAGAGTCAAATTGCCAGACAGGAAGTGATTCATTGACATGATGGATATCAGCACCCAAGACAACAAGGAAGGTCTGCGTCAGTCTGATATGGTGAAATAAAAAAATTATAATTATCTGCTGGTGATTTTGTTCCATTGTTTGGTTTGACCCAGTTGCCGACCCACATACAGACAGGCAGACGTTCGTGGGATTAGTAGGTAGATAATACAATATACTGATGTACCTCGTCTAAGACAAGGACACTTTTTCTAATCATAGCCTTCTTTACAACAGATCGAATACACCAACCGTATCCTAAACAGCATCCAGAGGGGTCTCCTGTTGGAGGTTTGTGAGACTGGTATCTACGCCTGGAGGCAGGACAGGTGCCACGTGTTTGCCAGCACCAGTGACCCCAGTGTGGCTCTGCCAGACCCGAGAAAGCTGCCCCAGAACACGATGGTACAGCTCCTCAGCTTTGAGAAGTATGTGAATGGTAGGTGTGGATCTCCTGTTCCTCTTCAAAGTGAATTAAAGTATTTCTTATAACTAGTGTTAATACTTTTACCCGCATTAACTTTATGCTGTGAAATAATTGTCACAGAACTGAAAAAGTTTAAAGAGAACAACGGGGGCTCTCCTGACTACACCATCAACATGTGCTTTGGAGAGAAGTTTCCTGATGGAAAACCTTTGGAGAAGAAACTTATCACTGTCAAGGTAACAACTGTTTTTTTTTTTACTTTGACGAAGGAAGTTATGCTACATTAATTTGTTTGTCAGCAGGATTATGCAGAAACCACCGAACACATTTCCACGAAATGTAGCAGAAGGATACAACGTTTTTTTCTCAAAGACAACCACAGTACTTCAGCTGCACTGAGTTTCACATCTAAGCCTCTCTCTCCCTCTGCCCCCGTAGGTGGTTCCTCTGATCTGTCGGCACTTTCATGAGATGGCCCAGATGGAGGGCGCTTCCTCTCTTCACAGCGCCAACGTCAGCCTACAGATGTCGCACAACAGTCTCTACGATCTCATTAACTCCGTGTTCGGTCTGCCAATAGCTGAGGACCCGACCTTCCTGCATTAGATCTCAAACTTCTTCAGCACTGGGCTCAAACAAGGAATTCTTCAATATGCTATGGGACAAACATGATGCACCATATCCTTCTCCTACTAGAAGCCTCAACATAAAAAAACTGTTGTTGAATATGCTACACCGTCAGAAGCAGGAACGAACAGAATCATTATTTGGTGTTTGGTGTCGGAATTTGCCATTATCGATCAACTGTATTTCCACGTTGCTGCTTTGCATCTTCTGATCTGATTTGCCATTAACTGTTAGAAAAACTGATATTTGTGTCACTACAAAGTGGAAATTGACTCCTTCATTACCGAGACTGTTACTCAAGTGAAAGACAAGTTGGGCTTTACAATAATGTTTTCTGATTCATAATTATTTAATTACACATTCTTAAGCAGATTTATGGAGTAAGGAAATGATGACAAATAGCCCTGTAAATCCATTCTGATAAAGGTTTGCAATTACTGGTCACATATTTATGAGGTCGTAAGTTTTCTGTGTCATACAGCCACCGACTGCAATATGTTTACATGTCTGTGGAGAATTGTTTTGCACTTCAACTATTAACCCCTTAACTATTGTTTTTATCTCTGCTGGTCATTTTGTATTTGAAATAAATGGTTTAACCCTTTAATTATGTCATCTCGGTTCATTAATACTGCCTTGTAAATGTTATGGCCAAGAAATGCTGGGAAGGATAATACAGAGATCTTACAATAGCAGCCAGGAACCCACACCAAGATTTCACCTGAAGATGCCCCCCCCGATGGTTGAGTCTCTGCGGACTTTCTCCGCCTGGCTTCCTAGTATAATGTCAGTAGAAATCCTGGAGAATCCGATGTGTGAACCCAGCAGGGGATCCGGTGGCGGTTGATGAAGCTTGTAACAGATGCAAAAATGCAAAAATAAATTAAAATTAAAAAGAATATATATATATATATATATCCCAGTGAAAAACATACAAGACACTGACGAAGATGTCGAGAGTTTGTGGTGATAAGACCCGACACTAGTGTCTGTGTGTCGTCAAGTAAATCACATGATCTCCGCAGCAGAGTTAAAAGTCACTTCCTGCCTCTGTCTGCTGCTCCACGTGAAGGATTTGTTGCTGTTGGGAACACGTCTGTGCAGAGAACCTCCTCCTGTGTTGAGCATGTGTGAAACGAAAATTCTGGGTAAACGCCGTAGCCAATTCTCCGGATTTCAGGAAGAAGGAATGGTCTTCGTTTAAAAAAACATGGAAACCAATCTCAGGCATAGACGTTAAGGAGAGTACACAACAGCGTGTGTGAAGATTTCCATAAATGCACCCTGTGTGTCGAAACTTCTATATTATGATGTCATGGAAAAATTGTTCTACAAGCCGAGGAGGATTTAGTGTAGCAATGAATTCTTATGGTTGTTGTCATGAGCCATTTTTGGAGATCATAGGTTACACAGCATATTTTTATGCAATAAAGTATTTCTGAGATTGTTTTCCATCAGAGCGAAGGTATTTTGTTTGCTTTTTTAAAATTTTTTAGCACTTTAAGCTTTAAAAATGTCCACGTATAAGCTTCCAATGCAAATCCATACACTGTAGCTTCAGGTTTGTTCACAATAACCCAATAAGAAAAGAGAAAAATCTTATTTTTTAACTAAATCACTGACCCTAAAAAGAAAATGTTAATGACTAGTGTTTTCAGTTTCTCAGTCTTAAATATAACTGCTCGACTAATAAGGTGAGTGCAGCAACAGCAAGCACAGTGATTATGTTCAGATGTCAGCACTTAAAATAGTAAAGCTTTAAGTGAAATATGGCGACAGGACAGAATGTGAGTATGTACTCAAATTAAACTGAGACCAAACCCTTTTCATTATCATCGATTTATTATTGTGTTCCCTCTTAGAAACACCTGCTGTGTTTGATCAAGTAAATGCAGAAAAAAAGACATTCAGATAAACATGAGCACCTGTTTCTTTAGATTTGTCCAGTCCCGGGCTTTACAAAGCCAAGTCAAAGTCCAACCACCCACCATATAAGTTTTTACAGCAGTCAAACTAAGTAGTGTGGACAACAGAATGATGAACAGGAAGAAAGGAGTTTTGTTGAAGAAAGCAATAGAGAGCAGCTACCTAAATCAACAAGGGTGAGAACTAAGCTGAAGAAACACTAACTAAGCAGTCATTTATGAGGCTGCATTAAATACTGCAAACACTTGATGTTAACACTGAAATTATTAGTTCAATTAGTCAACTAAAGGCATTTTTTTTAATTCTATCATACCCACAATGGAAAATTCTCTGGTTTATAAGTTGTTCCATTATCTTTTATATACAGACAATAAATGGATCTCACAAATTCCACAAAATTATGCCCTTAAAT